GTTGCGTCGAGCCAGACAAGGAGCATGGGGGAGAAAAGGGAAACAGAGCTTCGGCAGGAAAGGTTAGTCTCGCCATCACTGCCGACCGCCCCTCGACAGATCGGCCGCTTGCCTCGCTGCTCGAGCACTTGGAAGTGCTTCCCTGTCGGGGAAAACCGCCGTCGTAGTTTTGGCGTGTGCGAGGCTACGATGGGCGTGAAACGCCACCACGACCTGCCTGACGCTGCAGGGGCTCGCGCGTAGGAGGGCGAGCTTGGGCAGGCGCTCGAGGGGGAAGGGAGAGCAGCAGACTTCCAACACAGGCCAGAGGAGGAAGAGGAGGAAGAGGAGGAAGAGGAGGAAAAGGAGGAGGAGCGAGCGAGCGTCTCAAGAAGAAAGGTGCCTCCTCACGCCCCCGCCTCGCGCGCGCCCGCCCCGGGGCCTCTCAGGGCCTCGGTGCCGACGTCCACGCGGTCGCTGGTGTCAGCGAGATGCAGGGGCCCGCGCGAGCAGGCAGAGGGGCCCGAGACCGCGCCGACAACGTCGAAGAAGTCGCAGTAGACCGCGGGTTTGACATGTCTGAGGCGCGCAGCGTGCCATCGTGGGGAAGGGCCGCGTCGGCCACCGCAGCCCGCGCCGACCTCTACCGCATCTCGCCGACCAGCGACGGCGGCAGCACGACGCCGCACCAGTCACTAAGTAGACGAAGGTCGCTTTCGATAGCGACAGCCCTTCGCGAGAACAGGGACGACGACGGAGCTAACCCTGAACAGGAAGAACGCCATTGCCTCTCAGAGATGAGCCTCGCCTCAATGATCGAGTCTACACCAGGTGGGAAGTCTGTGCGGTAGGCCTTGAGGGCATCCCACATGGCCTTCCAGCGCCTCGTGGAGTGAGGTCGCTCATGGCCCTCTGATAAACCTTCGCCGCAACCTCATCCAAGAACGGTGGATCGCGTCACTTCCTTTCAACGCCGTGCTCAATTTAGTTGGCGCGCGCCTGGGCAGGAGCAGGGGCGGCAATGCAGCCACGGCCGCGCCAGCAGCAGGAGAAGCGTCGCGGGCGCCCTCATCACGAACGCCACCGAACCCAGCAACTGACGGCTCCGCCACCGCGGGCCAAGAAACGGGTGGCAAGCCCGAAGCGCGGGCAGACGGCGGACGTGAATCGACGGAAGAGGCGCCAACATAGCGACATTATGGCGCGACCGGCTCCTTGCGCTCAGGGAGCGGGTGCGGCGACGAGTCGAGCGAACATGACGGTGTCCAACAACGCGTCCAGGACGAGCCTCAGAAGCGCGCGAAGCACCCCCAGGGGCTCCACGCACAATTGCAGCATAAACATCTGCATCAGGAGCACGAGGAGCAGGAGCGCCAGCATGAGCCCGATCCACAGCAGGGCTCCGAAGCCGAACACATATCGTCAGCTTCGACAGGAGGCAGAACACCAGTGCCTGAGTAAGGAACAACGTCCACACGAGGAAGCTCTGCCCGAGCACCTGGCAGACCACCACCAGCGCCAGGAAGACCACGCCCAAGGCCGCATTGATCCACACCTGAGCCCAAAATAGCATCCTCGAGACGGCACTCCGCAATAGAAGCGCAAACGAGGGATGCCCCCGAGGCAGGCGGGGGCAGGGTAGGAGCACGCGACGAAACGGAAGGCGCAGGACAGCACCGCGAAGGCGACGAGAAAGGCATCGTAGTCGTAGCTAGTTTCTGCGGGGCAGACGCAACGCTCCGTGGAGTAGAACCTCGCGTCGGCAATGGGAACGCCAAGTCCACGAAATCGCGCTCAGACAAAGAATCGTCCTCCTCCCCTGGCGCGTTGGCGGCGAATGCTGCCCCAGCTAAGACGCCCGTCAGCTTGGCAAGCGAAGAACTGCAGCGGTGCTATTGAACAAGGTCTGAGTGGCATAAGAACGGCGCACCAGGAACCGACCAATCATATGCAGCGAGGTCGGCACATCGACGGAGCGAACAATCACCACCACGGGGACTCGCGCCACCGACGGGTAGCTCACGGGGATCAGCATGCGAACATAACAATACATAAGGAGGTTGTTTTTTTCATCATGCTGTCGGTCAGCGAGCGGCGCATGCGAGTGCATGGGCCCAGTATGTAGGAACTCCTCATGCAGGAGATCGTCAAAGGCCGAGTGGTTCTCCCCCATCGCGTAATCCAGGGGCTCAGCAGACGTATAAGCACGGGGACGCTCGCTACCCTGCGGCTCAACATGCTGAAGTTCATCGGGCAGTGCATGCGATTGGACGGGCTCGTCCTGAAGAAGCCCTTCATTCATAGTATCATCAATGACCGCCTGCCCGCAGACAACTTCATCCACCAACGCGTAAACCTCAGGCGCACTGGGTCCACCAGCGCGGGCGTGCCACAGCATCGCCGACAATAGCGGGGTATCTGCATAGCTGTGGACATTATTGGACAGGCGGGCATGTTCATCAGCAGTCGCACGATCGGACACCTCCGAAAGGTGCGAGTACGTGCGTCCGTCGCCGCGAGCACACCGAGGAAAGAAACGGCAAGCTGGACGAGTCGCAATCCTCGGACCCACCTCCAAGACCTTCAAGCAGTGGGAATCGACAGCCTTAGACGGCGCAGGAGCGCCCTGAGCACCCGCAGCGGCACGGTCACCGAGAACAGGAGGCAGTGCGCCATCAGAAGCAGCGATCGCATCACCGGTATTGAACCCCCGCCGCACAGCGTCGCGATCTCCAGACTGAGCAGATGGCACCACAACACCGTGGAGACCAGCAGCAGCACGGTCACCAGGCAGACGACGAGAAACGTCACGCCGACCCACAGCCACACCACTAGGTGCCGCACGATCACTAGGAGGATGGACAACGCCACCAGAGGCAGCGGCCGCACCAACGCAATCAGGATCACGCCGTACGACTTCACGAACTACGGACCCACCCCAGCCCGCCACGATGTCGCAGTCGAGGGACTTGGAATCCGTCGGCACCACATCGCACTCAACCTCAGCAGCAGAAATTTCACCAGGGAGAAGAGAATCATGCATATCACATGCGACACGACGAGCGTCCCGAGCAGCATCAGAAGCAGCGTCGCGGACAGGGGGACGGCCAGCATCACGATCACCATGAAGCGGAGAATGAACGCCACGGGCAGCGGCGGCCGCGTCAGCACGAATGTGCCAAGGCAAAACTGCTCCATCGAGAGCTGCAGGAACAACGCCGCACTCTCCCGCAAAACGAAGAGAAACAGGCCATTCACGGTCCGCTCTGTCTTCGAACACGCAGAACTCGGACTCGAAGTTCAGGTCGAGAGCGAATGCCGAAGACGAAGCAGAGTCTTCCGACACGCTGGCCGCTGGCGTTGCTGAAGTCCCAGCCGGCGTGAACACCATGCCCTGACGCCGCAAAGCCGGCGACACCTTCCTGAGCACGATGCACATCAACGAAAGAACCCTGATCATGTAGAAGAACAATGTATTCCGCCACCTGCGAGATGTGCGAGCCATCGCAGAAGCCGGCAACCGTGGGAAAGAGCGATGACACCAGCGGCGTGTGAAAGAACGGCACGAGCTGCGCGATGATGCCGGCAGCCTGTACCAAGGCCCGCACCGATGCACACAGGGCTGCGACGTCAGCCGAACCCCCGCAGCGCGGAGGGAAAATATCATGCAGCAACAGCTTGCGAGAAGATGGAGAGGGCGAGCTTGCAGGAACCAGTGTGTCCAGACAGAGCGCCACACGAGGAGGCGGACCAGCACCGCAGGAGCCCAGAAGGGGAACACGATGTTTGGCGCGCCCAGAACGCGCACTCTGCTGAAGAAGCCGATGTCGAACTTCTGGTGGAATGGATTCGCCAGCCGCCGCAACAGCACCACGTAGATTATGAGAAGGATGACCATTGTGTTGTTGGAGCTCAGCGTGAGCATGCAGCCACTTGATCATGCAGCGAGCGTTGTGGAGCAGCGGCGTAGCGACCGCCTCGAATTGGCATCCAGGGACACGAGGCCGAATGTACTGCCGACGAATAGCGCGAGCTCGCCGAACTGCACGTGCATGTTGGCTGCGAGAGTGAACCATCTCAATGCATTGACTCCACCCCACCAGAAAGGGCAGAAGGCGCCACCATCGATACGCAAGAGAGCTGAGGGCGCGTGCGCGGGCCCCCCCTCCTGACATGGACTCTTGAGCCGAAATGGCTACGGAAGGAGGAGGAGGAGGAGGAGGAGGAGGAGGAGGAGGAGGAGGAGGATGAGGGGGGATAGTGGGTGGATTTGCTGACGTCGCTTCATTCAGAGCTCTACCGAGTTATAGTTCGCAGGGTCGCACAGCAGTGGCAGCAAGAGGGAATCACTGTCTGTGCGGATTGTGGTGGAGAAAATCCCGTAGGTGCTGCGGACTTCTCGAATCCGCTTGATCCGATCATAACCCTGATCCCGTTACCGCTTTCCCCCCTCTTTTGGTTGTTTGTATGTCGGCTGACCTGGACTACCTGATGTCTGACACCATGCTCCTGACGGCTTGCCACGCAATTGACATCCATGTCCTGTCCCCTGCTCTTCCATCGCTCCCCCCCAGACGAGGCTTCACATCGACAAAATGCTTTTAGCTCACCCGATCCGAACCAATCCGAGGAGGAGAATGGGCTGCGCGCGCAAGGAGGTAGGGGATGGCTTCTTAGAAGGAGGCTGCTTCTTGGAAGGCGCGGCTCTACATCTATAGATCAGGCCCGCGCCTTCTGAGAAGAAGGGGTGCCTCTGAGATGCCTCCCCTCCTTCCCCTACCCCCCTCTGCGCGCGGGCCGAGAGGGGCGGAGCAGCAGCATGGGTGCCGCTTCCGCCCCTGAGGACTCCCTGATACTCCCTGCTGCTTCCTCCTCCTCCTGCTCCTCCTCCTCCTCCTCCTCCTCCTCCTCCCTCCTCCCTCCTCCCTCCTCCCTCCTCCTCCCTCCTCCTCCCTCCTCAAAGCATCCAGCCGTGCCAGGCGAGGGGCGGAGCAGCGGCCGAGAGGAGGAGCCGTGGCCGCCTCTGCCCGCCTCCTCGCCGCGCTCGCCGCCGGGGCGCCCCGTCGCCGCCGCGCCGGCCGGCACGGGCTCCGCGGAGATGCGGCCCGAGAACTGCCGGGACCTCGGAGGGCCTCCCCCTCCTCCTCCTCCTCCTCCTCCTCCTCCTCCTCCTCCTCCTCCCTCCCTCCTCCTCCTCCTCCTCCTCCTCCTCTCTCCTCCTCCTCCTCCTCCTCCTCCTCTCCTCCTCCTCCTCCTCCTCCTCCTCCTCTCTCCCTCCCTCCCTCCCTCCCTCCCTCCCTCCCTCCCTCCCTCCCTCCCGGCGCGCCAGGTCCCGTCGGCTGCGCGAGGGAGCGGCCGCCCAGCGCGCAGTCAAGAGCAGCAAAACGGATGTGGAGGTTGAGGGGCAGGTGCCCTGGGAAGGGCGCCGGAGCCGAGGACGCGCGCGCGCCAGTGGCAAAGGCCAGCACGGTTCTGTGCGTGCTGCTTTGTGTCCGGCGGTCCTCGTGCCACCAAGGTGAACGCACAACGAGGAGCAAGCCACAAGCAGATTCCACGACCCATATATCTTCAGGAACGGCCCAAAAACCCGAGCCCCTCCTGAGCCCGAAGCGGTCCTCCTTTCAGCGCCTTGTCTGTGCGTGCTCGGCCTCTGGGGCGTTCCTCGCTGGGCCCCTGGGCTGCCGAAGGACAGCTCGGGATGGGGTGCTGGGCCCCCCTGGGGAAGGGGGTCGGCTCTCGTCGGCTGCGCGCAGGAGAAGCCCTCCAAGGTCCGGTCAACTTCGACAGTGAGGATGTAGTTTTGAGGATGCACAGCCCTCGGAACGGCGCGAAAGGCAAGGATGCGCGCAACCACATGCGCGAAGGATGGAAGGTGCCCTTGCGACAAGGGCCCATCCTTGACGCCCGTTGTGACTGTATGAACAAAAACCCGTGACCGTGCATGAGGTCGTGTTAGAATGCTTGGTACTGCTCTCTATGGTTTTCGTCTTCTAATAAAGGACCCCCCCCTCTACTACCGGACAGCTGTATGCACATCCCCTGGTCCCCCACTATTCCTCGTACAAACACGATGGATCTGCGCTCCAGAGGCTACGATCCCTCGAACAAGAAGTATGCGTCCGCGCCCAGAGCTTCCAAGACGGCCCAGGCAGGCAATCAAGGCAATGAAGATGGCACAGTCTGCCTCGAAGGCTGGCCAATATGGCCCAAGGCGGCAGCATATGGCCTCAAGACGGCACAAGACGCCTCTAAGAGGATCCAGCAGGGCCCCAAGAGGACTTCCAACAGGGCCCGCAGGTGCCAAGATCATTGGTTTCCCGTAGGTGTTTGACTTATGTTTGGGTTCTCGTCGTTTCGGGCTCCGTCAGCTCAAGTTGGCCTCAAAACCCTTCACGATGGCCCTAAGATGGCCCAAGACACCCCCACGAGGGTCCAAAGATGGCCCAGCAGGACCCCTCGAGGGTCCGATAGGCATCCAAGAGAGGCCTGAAGACGGCCCAAATTGGCCTCCCGTTGGACCCACGACGGCATTAAAGGCTCTCCGACCACCCAAGACGGCGCCAAGACGGCCGCAGGCACCCACCATGCTGCCAAGAGGGCCCCAAGACGGCTCAAGAGAGCCCCAAGACGGCCTCAGAGGCCCCCAAAACAGCCCCACGTGACCCCCAACGACTGCCTCACGGGATGTCAAGACAACCACAAAACGGCCGAAAGGAGCTTCATGAGAGCTGCTCCTCAAATAGAAGAGAGCGTGATCCACCGCCGCTTTACTGTGGAAAATTGCCAACCTTTTCCTCTGGAACCGGGGGGTCGCCCCCCCCCTCCGAAAATCCCCCCCCCCCTGCTGGAACCCCCCCCCCCCCCCTTCCCCCGGCAACCCCCCCCTCCCCTAACCCCTCCCCCCCCCCCCCTCCCCCTCGAACCGGTTCGAACCCCCCCCCCCCCCTAACCCCTCCCCCCCCCCCCCCCCCCTCGAAAACCAGAGGGGGGGTTTCGGTTCGACCCCCCCCTCCCACTCACCGCCAGCAAACGACTCCCGGTCCCTACCACCGTCCGCATCACATCCCCCACTGTTGTTCCCAGCACCACTGTCCTCACCACCACTGTCCCCACTGGTTCCACCACCGTCCCTACTGTCCCCACCAGTGCCCCCACCACTGTCGCACTGTCCCCACTGTCCCCACCACTGTTCCCACCACGGTTCCACTCTCCCCACTGTCTCCACGGCCCCAACCACTGCCCGACTATCCCCACTGTCCCCACTGTCCCACTGACTCCTCCGCTGTCCCACTGAGCTGTCCCACTGTTCCCACCACTGTCCCCACTGTCCCCACCACTGTCCCCACTGTACCTCTGTCCCATTGTCCCACCGCCGTCCTCGCCACCGCCTTCACCACTGTCCCCACCACCATTGTACCCTCCACTGTCCCACTGTTTCCACCTCATTCCCACTGTCCCCACACCACTGTCCCCACCACCACCGTCCCACCACTGTCCACTGTCCCCCCTGTTCCCACCATTGTCCCCACCACTGTCCCCACCACTACCGTCCCCACCACTGTCCCACTGTCCCCCCCCACCGTCCCCACCACTGTCCCCACACTGTCCCCACCACTGTCCCACTGTCCACTGTTACTGTCCCCTGTCCCCCACTGTCCCCACCACCACCGTCCCCACCACTGTCCACTGTCCCACCTGTTCCCACCATTGTCCCCCACTGTCTACCGTCCCCACCACTGTCCCACTGTCCCACTGTCCCCACTACTGTCCCGCTGTCCCCTCACCACTGTCCCCACCAACACTGTCCCCACCACTGTCCGCACCCCCACTCGGTTTTCGAGGGGGGGGGGGGTTCGAACTGGTAGTGACCCCCCCTTTTCATGATGAACTGGGGGGAAGGGTTCGAACCAGTAGTGACCCCCCCCGGTTTTCCGGAGGGGGAGGGGGGGGAGGGGTTCGAACCGGTAGTGACCCCCCCCGGTTTTCCGCCAGCAGCGGTAGAACACGCTCTTTCTCAAATAGTGAAGACGAAAGGCGTCACGTGTGACGGCATTCCTCTTCCTTTTTCTCCTGCTCCTCCTCCTCCTCCTGCTCATGCTCCTCCTCCTCCTCCTCCACCAAATCATCATCATCATCATCATCATCATCATCATCATCATCATCATCATCATCATCATCATCATCATCATCATCATCATCATCATCATCATCCTCACCATCAGCAGCATCATCATCATCATCATCATCGTTATCATCATCATCATCATCATCATCATCATCATCAGCATCATCATCATCATCATCATCACCATCATCACCATCATCATCACCACCACCACCATCATCATCAGCATCATCATCATCAACAACATCATCATAATGATCATCGTCATCATCATCACCATCATCATCATCGTCATCGTCATCGTCATCGTCATCATCATCATCATCATCATCATCATCATCATCATCGTCATCAGCATCATCATCATCATCATCATCATCATCATCACCATCACGGCTCTCTCAAACCTGGAGACACGAGGTGCCACACGTGACGGCCTTCCGTGCCCCCTCGGACAGTCGGCACCCAGAATGCTGGGCTGGCACGGTGGCGGGACTTGCCTCAGGCAGCTGATGATTGTTCGGCATTGTCGGCCTTGGGGCTGTAACAAAAACGGCTCGGGATGGAAAGCCAGAACCCTGGGAAAGGGGTCGGATCTCGTCAGCTGCACGCAGGAGAAGCCCTCCAGGCTCCAGTCAACACCGGAAGCGAGGATGTAGTTTTGAGGGTGCACGGACCTCGGAACGGCGTGAAAGCCAAGGATGCGCGTAACCACACGCGCGAAGGATGCAAGGTGCCCTTGCGAGAAGGCCCATCCTTGACATGCAGCTTTGAGGATGCTCGGCCCCTCGCACGGCGCAGTAGCCAAGGACGCGCGCGCCCAAGCGGAGGCTGGCCAGAACCGAAGGATGGCCGGAACGAAAGGATGCAAGGTGCCCTTGCGACAAGGAGCCCATCCTTAGCGCCCATGTTGACTGCACCTGCAGATCCACAAAAACTGTTGTTCGACGCTGTCGGCCTCTGGGGGCCCTCGTCGGGCCACAGGGCTGTCACATGCAGCTCAGGATGGGAACCTGGCCCCCGGGGAAGAGGTCGGCTCTCGCTGGCTGCCCGCACGGGAGGGACTCCAAGGTACCATCAACAACAGCAACAAGGGTGGAGTTGAAGGGTGGAATGCCCTTGTGATTGACGAGGGCCCATCCTTCAAGCCCCGCGAAGACGAAAGCGGATTTTGTTCGACGTTGTCGGCCTCTGGGGATACTCGCAGGGCCTCCACGCTGTCAACAACAGGCCATGGTGGGCAGCCAAACTCTGGGGCAGGGCTCGGGACCTCGGGGGAAACCGTATTGCGGAAATCAAGTCATCGGATCCTAGGGGGAGTGGCCCTGGGCAAGAACAATCTCTGGTGCGCGGACTCCCGATCGCTGAGTGCCACAGTGGCGTCCCGCTGGCTTGGGTTTGGTCCCCCCGCGCACCCCGAAAGCAGCGCACCAAAGTTCTCTCCAACGAAGGGCCACTGTGTGTGCATGTGTAGTTCTGCCTGAATTCGCCGCGTCGCTGCGCACGTGGCACGGAAACGCCTTGTTTCTTATAATATATATATATACATATAATAAATATAAATATATAGATGGATCTACGCCGTATGAAGGAATATACGTACTGTATACAAAGATGTGCGAGTACATCTTAAAGCCTCGGGAGAGTGTGTGTGTGTGTGTGCTTGCGCGAGGTTTGTGCAATAAGTGGTATTGCCCAACAGCCACCTCATCGAAGTACGCGGACACATGCGCCCTCTATCCTAATTACAAGCAGCGCGACAACGCTGCTAAATCAGAACTAGACTGGCAAGTGCGAACGAGACGTGTTATTTCACGTGTGCTGTCTTGTTTGGGCTTCTGTATGCCTCTAGAGGGGCCTCCGTGGGAACGGGTCTGGAGACGTCTGGGGGGTCACAATCGTTATACCTCCTCTTTCCTCTTCGCTCCTCCCTCCCTCCATCCCGCCCTCCTCTTGCACCCCCTGACACTTACTCAACATGATTACTACTTTCCTTTCTCCTTCGACTACGTGCTGAAATATCCCGCCCTCTCCGTGTATGATTTCACTTTGTTCCCGTAGGATGTCAAAAAGTATGGTGCTCAGGTTGCACCGTGGGCCTCAGGATCGGCGCTTGGCTTCCTTCCATCGTTCAGTCGCCCCAGCGCGGGCCCCTGTTCTGGATCCGAGTTCGTCCTCATCGTTGTCGCCCCGCTCTGTTCCCCTCCCCCTCCGTCCACTGATCATCCTGCTCCCCCGCCTCCTCCCACTCTTGCTCATGCTGCTGCTGTTTCTCCTGGTCCTCCCCGTTCCTCATTCTTCTCCTGGTTGCGCATCAAACAATGGGCTCCCTCTGGGAGTCCCAGGTCCTGGCCTATGACACCCGTCAGCGGCGACAGATCAAATCAGCGCCATGGGAAGGGATGCGCGAGCTCACCTAGCTTCCCCCCTCCACCCTCCGCCCTCCGCCCTCCTGGTCCTCCTCATCCCCCCCTCTTCCTCCTCCCCCTCCTCCTCCTCATCCTCCTCCTCCTTCTTATCCTCCTCCTCATCCTCCTCCTCCTCCTCCTCCTCCTGATCATCATCATCATCATCATCATAATCATCATCATCATCATCATCATCATCATCATCATCATCATCATCATCATCAGCATCACCATCACGGCTCACCCAAGCCTGGAGACACGAGGTGCCACACGTGACGGCCTTCCGTGCCCCCTCGGACAGTCGGCACCCACAATGCTGGGCTGGCACGGTGGCGGGACTTGCCTCAGGCAGCTGATGATTGTTCGACGTTGTCCTCCACATCCTCTTCCTCCACGTCCTCCTCCTCCTGCTGCTCCTCCTCCTCCTCCTCCTTAGCGGCATCATCATCAGCATCATCAGCATCAGCATCAGCATCAGCATCATCATCATCATCATCATCATCATCATGATCATCATCATCATCATCATCATCATCATCATCATCATCATCAACAACAACATCATCATCATCATCATCATCATCATCATCATCATCATCATCATCATCATCATCATCATCCGCATCAGCGTCATCATCATCATCATCATCAGCAGCAGCATCATCAACATCTTCGTCATCATCGCCATCACCAGCATCGTCAGCATCATCATCATCATCACCATGATCAGCATCAGCATCATCATGGTCATCAGCATCACCAGCATCATCATCATCATCATTGTCGTCATCATCATCATCAGCATCATCATCATCATCATCATCATCATCATCATCGTCGTGATCATCATTTCCATCATCGTCATCATCATCATTATTATCATCATCAACATCAACATCAACATCAACATCAACATCATCATCATCATCATCATCATCATCGTTATCATCGTTATCATCATCACCATGATCAGCATCAGCATCATCATCAGCATCAGCATCAACATCATCATCAGCATAGGCATCATCATCATCATCATCATCATCAGCAACATCAAAATCACCATCCTTCTCCTCCTCCACATCCTCCTCCCCTCCCCTCTGCTCCTCCGACCTCCTCCAGCCTCCTCCCTCTCCTCCGTCCGTCCTCTCACCTCTCTTCCCTGCTGCCTCCTCCCCCCTCCTCCTCGGGCCCCCCCTCTTCCGTCCTCCTCGCCTCGTCCCCCCCTCTTCTGGCCTCCCTCCGGGGTACAGCTCGGGGGACAGGTGGGCGCGCCCCCAAGCGGAGGCCGCGGCGGGGCGAAGGGCGCGCACGCTCACGGGACAGCGGCGCGCGCGACACCGCCCTCGACACACGCCGCGGTGTCGCGCGGACGCGGCCCGAAAGCCTGCGACGGGCATTGCGGGGCATCGGCTGGCTCGCAGAACGCAGCAGCCAGGAGTTGGGATCTGGAAGCGATCGCGTCTACCTCGTCGAGGGAAGCCGCGCCCACGCCTTCACTCGCGTCCCAAACTAGGGGCACGTCACCGAAGTCCAGGGGGACCGGCGAACCCTACCCACCGTGACCTGGCCTCGTCCTGGGAGGACGGGGGTAAAGTGCAGCATGCAATTTGGATCGACACTGGTCTGCTCAGGGCGGAAGGTCGGGAGAACGCTGCAACTAGCCGCCGTGCCGTCCTGAACCACCGTGTCTCACACTGCAGCTCGCGCTCCACACTTCAGGAACCGCGGCTGACCTGCTGAACGCTCCCCCGGCAGGGCGCCACCAGGACTCAAAAACGTGGCCATCTCGAAATGTGTTCTGCCACCTTCCGCTGGCACTCCGCTGACATCCGCTGGCGAGTTGCGCCTAAAGCTACAACGGCCCCAGAAATATCGCAAGCCTGCAGGCTCTGGTGCTGCTCATTACCATAGTCTATCTCTGGCTCGCTCTGCCCCTGCTCTTCCCGAGGGGATCAACAAAACAATTACTCACAATTGCAAGGGGAACTTCAGACGTGGCATCCCCTCCTCTCTTCGCCGTCGAGCTGACGTCGTCCTGCTCGTCGTCGTCCACGTGCTCGTTGTCGTCTTCGTCGGCACCGACCTCGCCTCCGTCGTCGACGTCGTGGTGCCCGTCGCCTACGTCATCGTCGGGGTCGTCGTCGCCGTCGCCGTCGGAGTCGCCGTCCTCGTCCTCGTCGTCTTCGTCTTCGTCTTCGTCTTCGTCTTCGTCGTCTTCGTTGTCGTCGTCGGCACCGCCGTCGCAGCGCAAGCTGGGGCCGAGGCAGCTCCTCGGCGGTGGCGCGCCCGGCCTTGCGCTGCGGCTCCGACTTGGGCTGCTCCTCGCGGAGCGTCGAGGCGGCAGGAGGAGATGTCAGAGGCCTCCAGGATGGGGTCCGGGCAAGTGGGGTCGGAGGATCGCGCCGCATGGCCGAAGCATCGCCGATGCATCGGCGATGCATCGGCGATACATCGGCGATGCATCGGCGACGTCGGCGTGGAGGAAATCGGGCTGCACATCGACTCATCGCCGATGCATCGGCGACGCGGCGCGAGCCACCGACCCCATCCAACACGACCTCATCTGGGACGCCTAGCGATGTCCAGGACATTCTCGGGGAGGCCTCGCGCTTCGAGCTTAGAGTTGTGTTGGTCGCAGTTTTGTATTGTTGCAACTTCAGGGTTCCCTTTGAAGTTCTGGTCAGATCGAGCCGCAGGATCGGTGACGGGATCGACGTTCTGTTGTCCCAAACCCAGATCCCCTCGGCAGTCGTAAAATAGTCAACATCAGATCCCCTCGTTAGTCGTGAAATAAAACACGTCGGAATGCTTTCGACTATCTTCGGTATCTGGCAGCCTTACCTGGCCCCTGGCCGTCACCACCGCCTCAAGATGAAAAGCAGGAAATGGCGAAGGGTCAAGACCTCCAGGGCGGATATGGAAGAGGAGGAGGAGGGGGAGGAGAAGAACACTTGTTCAGATCAAGGCTTCGTGGCCTTAGCGGTTTGGCCACTGGTGTACAGGATGACGCTTAAGAAAGAATGGGGGAACGATTAAACACATCGTTAATTTGATTTGAACGTTTTGTTTTCAACGGGTGGAGGACGATTCAAACAGATGTCTATTACACTTCGGCTGCGAATATTACGTCGAATACTCCTTTCACGTCGTCGTCAAACTTTACGTTAAATTATCATTCGACGTCGACTTCAAATCTGACGTCAACTACCAATTCTACGTCGGCTTCAAACTTCTACGTCAAATACTCTTCCACGTCGGCTTCAGACATGTCTAATGCTCATTTGACATTGTCTGGCCCGTCGGCTGTCCGGGCGCGCGCGCCCGAGGACGGCAGGGGGGGAACGATTCAAAAATAGTTTCCCAGCCCGCGGCCCGTATTTTCTAATCATCCTCCGGGGCTCCGCCGACGCAACACGACCCGGTTATATATTGATCGTCATCCTACATGAAACTACGAGCGCTCTGCGCAGTCGTCGCTTTGAGCTTGTGCTGCCGGGCTGGCCGAGCCACCCGTGGCAGTTGCTGCCTGGTCAGGACGACCCCTCCCATGCTGCGGAGGGGGGGAGGACCCAGGCCTTCGACGCGTCAAGGAGAACAACGCGGAGGATTTCCGGGGGCCCTCGTCGTCGAGCGCTGGCTGGCGGGCCGAGCGGCGAAGCATGCGAGTACCGGGGGGGGTCTCCTCGGGCACGCGCGCCATCCGCCGAGCCAGCCGAGGCTCCAGCTAGAGCTAGGCCTTGGGGCTCGGGGTATGGGAGGGACCCAGAAGAGGTCGGGGTATGGGGGTCAGACGTCCACCCCGAGGTCTGTCCCCGGGTGCGTCCCGATCCGAATCTCTGGGGGAAGGAATCCATCCGTGGCGACGGGAAGCCTCCCAGAAGCCCGCGAAGGGCGAGACGCGTCCAGACAACAGAAAGGACTCGACACTCGAGCCTCCACGGGGGGGGGGGGGTCGCCCGGGATCGCAGGGAGGGGACGAGCGAGGGCACGAGGTCCTTGGCCAGGTCGGCGTTCAGCTTCGCCATCAGCTCGTCCATGCTCGTATCAGCCGCGGCGGCAGCGGGCGCGCTGGCGACCGCGGGCTGGGGCTGGGCACCGGGCGCCCCAGGAGTCATGCCGAGCCCGGGCACCCCGACGCCCGTCGGGTGCATGCCCATGCTCAAGTTCTTGATCCTGGCGAGGGGCGGGGGGAGAACCCGCAGCCCCCGCGCCGTGGCAGGAATCGCGACGGAGAGCTTTCAGGATTCTGGGGACCCTCGCGACCCTCGCTGGGGCCCCCGGGAACTGCAAAAGACAGACAGGGTGAGAAGCCCGTCCCAAGGAAGGGGTCGAGACCACATGGGGGGGTACGCTGCGAGCAACAGTAAGTCGGGGAGTCGGAGAAAGAAAAAGGAGGAGGAGGATGAGGAGGAGAAGACCGGGGGGATGCTGATAATGATGATGATGATGATGATGATGATGATGATGATGATGATGATGATGATGATGATGATGATGATGATGATGATGATGATGATGATGATGATGATGATGATGATGATGATGATGATGATGATACTGATGATGATGATGATGGATGAGGAGGAGGAGGAGGAGGAGAGGCCAGGGGGGATGATGATGATAATGATGGTGATGATGATGCTGATAATGATGATGGTCATGATGACGATGGTGGTGATGATGATGATGCCGATGAACATGATGATGCTTATGGTGGTGGTGGTGATGATGAGGAGGATGATGATGATGATGATGATGAGGATGGAGATGATGATGATGATGATGATGATGATGATGATGAGGAGGAGGAGGAGGAGGAGGAGGAGGAGAAGGAGGAGGAGGAGGAGGAAAGGATCGAAGATGGGGATGCTCTCGGAGGTTCTGTTTACATTTGGGCCTCATGGCGTCTCATCAGTCCTTCGGGGACTTTCGCAGCCCATGTGCAGATCTACCCACTCGGACCGCCGACGATGGCCCCCGGAAGGCAGGAGTAAGACGATGGATGTACGCCAAACGGGTAGAGCTCCGCCAGTGGAAGCCGAACTGCGACGTCCACAATGTCGGATTCAGGGTTTCTGGAGCCGACCATGTGGAGGAAAGCCGAGCGCGCCGTGGGACACGCCAAAGGCAAGCCCCCTCATGTCGACTCGCACGTCCTATCTCCTTCTCTTCCCTCAACCTACGGCATTGCTTGCAGTATCCACACTCGCTCAGCTGGCCGTTCGAGGCAGAGGCCCGAGGCCTGGCAAGCACGCCTGGGAGGCGCATCGCGCCCTCGAGCGCGATCGGCTCGGCCTCCTCGGAGTCGCATCACACGATCGTTGCCACGTGCCCTTCTCATTTTCTTGCGTTCCCGCGTGGCCAATTCCAGGGACCTTGGATCAAAAAATCTGCATCCCTGGCAACGCCTGAAGTTTTACTTCCGCCCGTTCCCGACAATCGAGCCGCTGCCGTTCTACGTCCGCCGTTATTGCTGCCCTTCTTCCGAGAAAGAGAAGGCGACCTCTCGATCCCGCGAAGGCTAGGCTTGGAGGCGGCCAGGGGAGTCTGAGATAGTTGCGGCACCTCAAAATCACTCCCCAGACCCCTACTGGGGTCCATCTGGTGCAGTTGTTCACTCTTTTCGGCGGGCCCAGAACCTCGAACCCAGAACCTCGAACGTGCCCACCGATTTCGGCGGGCCGGAACCAAAATTGGGCCAACTTCGACCCCCAGACGGCTCCAAGGCGAGGCCCGATTTTGAACGCCCGCGCGTGGCCATTGCGGATGTGCTGCACGAGCCCTGGGGCCACTGCCGCACCTCTCGAGCGCGCGCTTGCCAGAGATGGCTGCCTGGCCGCAGCCTGGCAGCAGCTCGGCCTCTGTCCCCCCGTGCTTCCCTGCCCCCCTGGGCCCCGGCTGCCCCGAAGTCCTCCCTCTCTCCTGCAATGACCGCTGCGGGGGACATGACCCTGACTCTCCACTTTCCACGCCCTCCGGCCAGCAGGAAGCTGATTTAGCAATCCTCTCGAGGAGCAGCAAACTATATAAACATATACTTGGAGAGAACCGCCAGGATTTCTAGAATCGGCGCTGGGCCCTCTTTGCGGCGCCTCCAGCGCCACTCCTGGCGTGCTCCGCGCGCCAGCGAGGGGGGTCCAGCGCAGATCCAAGAAATCCGCGCGGAGCTCTGGAAGCTGGTGTTTATGCAGTCCGCTGTCCCTCGGAAAGATCACTACATCAGCCACCTGCTGGTCGAAAGGCGTGGAAGGTGGAGAGCCAGGGCTGCTGCTGCAGAGAATGGATCCCGAGGTTTTTTCCCGTGGGCCCTCCACGGGCTCCCGGGCTGTCAAAAAAACTCGGGATGAAGAACTGGTCCTGGGGAAAGGCCGCCAAGGTCCAGGACCCGCTTCCCTCGTGGCCCCTTTCTTCCGTGGCGGGTTGCCAGGTCGCCCGCGTAACTTCGCGTTCCACGCCGACAAGGGCTCGGCGCGCGCTATTCTTTGCACCTGAAGTTGCTGACCCAGCATGCGCCCTCCCTCCACCGCTCCCTGCGAGCTCCTGGCGAGGATGACCGCCGTCTTGTTGCGGGCGCGGTCAAGGGGCCCCGTGATCACCATCCTGGCCTGCTCGCGTGGAAGAGAGGGGGCGGATGGAGTCGGAAGGAAGACGAGGGCAGACGCGAAGGCGGTGGGAAGGAGGCAAGCTCGAGGGGCCGAGGCACACCCAAAGACGCCGGCGCACCTCAGACCACGTGCCGAAGCCACCGACCTGACGTGTCCCTGCGCCCATGCAGGTTCCATACGTCCACCCGGCGGGCAGAAAACAGTCCACACCAGCAAGACAATCGGCAGGGGCGAAGAGGGGCAAATGGAAGAACGGGGGAGAGGAAGAAGAAGGGAGAGAGGCGAAGGGGGTGGAGGAGGGAAGGGGGGGAGGAAGGAGGGGAACGCGAGGGAGAGAGGGAGGGAAGACTAGAAGAAACTGGTCCAAAGCCCCTCCTCATACGCAGCTGTCTTCAAATACTCCTTTTCGCCACGGGTGTGGGCGCCCGCTTGAAAGAAGGGCACCCCGCGTCTTTGTGTGTATGGCATTCAGGCGCGAGCCCCGTTTTGAAAAGACACCAGCCTGAATTCCTTTGGGTGATAAGGAACGCAACTGTGCAAACTCGAGCATGCAAAAAAGGTGTCAAACGAGAGCTCCGAATTTAAGAAGAATCCGGCCTCCACGAATATAACTTAGCTACTGTCTTTGGGGAAACGCGAAAACCAAAGAGGTCCCAAGCAATAGCCCCATCTGGGAAACAACCAGCCATGAACGGTCAACGCTGTCGCGCCATCTGGCAACAGCCGTGAAACTGATGCAATCTTGTAAGGTCGAACTTGTGCAACGCTCAGGTTAAGGCTACGTTGTGCAAACCTAGCGCCCCCCACCAGTGAAGCTGTTGAACATCCCAAGCCTCAGGGATCATGAGTGGTGACGACGTCGCAGGTGGATAGCCAGGCATTCCTACTGACACGCCTGGTGGTGTCACGAAGAGTTGGTCTCCAAACAGCGGTTGCACTTAGGGCTTTTCTTGGTGCTGTTTAGAACTTGCCCTATGGTCGTGTTCGGCCGTTCGCGCGCCTGGGTCAGCAGGGCTTGTATCGGTATGGATTGGTTCGGTGCTTGTATGGCCACGCTGGGCCTGTGAATCGTGGTCGGCCGTTCGTGCGGCCGGACTGGCATGGCGTAGGACAAAATAGCTTGGGTCGGTTTGGCTCCGTTGGCCTGGTGTGCCGTGGTCTGCCGTTTACGCGCTCGTGTCCGTGTGGAGCACGATTCACACTATACGAGAAACTAACTTACCCCCCCCCATGCCGAGGCCAGGCAAACCAAAACACGTTCGAGCAGATGCTAGTCATGCGTATGTGTATGTGTATACACAGGCTTATACACACCTACACTCGCTGCACGACCGTTTGCTTAGAATACGAAATAGAAGACTTCGAACAATCTCCTTATATGTTCCTCCCGCGCCCCTGTCAAGAAATACTCTACGAAGCACTCGCTGTGCTCTCATGTGTGCAAACTCGATGCACCTGCCTGGAAAAAAAGACATGCGCGGAACACGCGCGAGCACGTGTCAGAATTCGTAGAAACAGCTGGTTTTCCAACACGCTCTGAAGACGCGCTTTCAACAACCATGACGCGCAAAACTATGGAACCTGCAATGTTTTCTGGCTCACGGGCACTCGCTACATTCAGAACACTCATGTGTTGCATTTCTGTCAAAGAAGCCTCAAAAGGGCTTTACGCGCGCGAATGCTCTGAGGAACGCACAACGGCATGAGCAAAACCTATAGCAAATCCGCGCGGATTTATTGGATCGGTGCTGGACCCCCTCCCTGGCGCGCGGAAAGCGCCAAGGGCGGCCCCCGAGGTGCCGCCAGGAGGGTTCACACGCGCGCACGTCCTCGCGCGCACGTCGAATCCATTGCGAAACCATCCGGTCTGTGAGCATTTCCATGTCATGGTCATCACTCCTGCCTCATCAGCATCGCAATCGACCATCGTCGTCGTCGACATCGCCCCCACCATCGTCATGAACATGATCATTGTCATCGTCATGGTCGTGATCGTCGCCAACATGAACTTTAAGAACAACTTGTGGGTGGATGGCTGAGATGTTTGCACAACCGTTGGAGGTGGTCACGCGCGAACGCGGTCAAAATGAATAGCACCCCATAGACTGCACACTATAGGTTGCACACAGGTTGCGCCCCATCTGCAAGACGTGGCTACTGTTTGGGGTCCACAAGTTGGTACCACCCACGTAAATAAGAGGATTGTCAAGAAGAGGAAGAAGAGGAGGAGAAGATCATCGGAGCTCTCTGGACGACGACGCACGAAGTCTGGAAGATTCGAGAGGTCTCCAAGAGGCTCCGCAATGCTTCCAGACGCCTGAGAACGTCCAAAAAACCTGAATCCTCGATCAGGGAGAGGACGACGACGACGTCGACTCAACTCAACAGCATTAGGACAAGTGTCTAGATCGCTACTGTCTCGATGTCACTGCCAGTGTCAAGCGTTGCGCCAGCCCCAGGCGGCAGCGAAAGCAACAGACGTGCACCAAGCTCCTGCGAAAGGAAAGCGCTGGCCGCAGACGACGTCGGCAATGACGACTGCGACAGCGACGACCACCACCAACAACACGTCCTCTCATGCTCATGGGGTATCGTTTGGGCAGGGACCGACCGCCCTGGCATTCCTATAGGCCAACCGCCAAACTGCTTCAGGGGAAAAAAACAAACAACAATAACAATGTTCTTCCTCTTTAGAACAGCAGAGTGTTCAACTAGCAAAAACACAACTCTTCTAACATAAGGCCGAAGTGTTCAAACAAGACGGTCTCAGCTGAAAATGTTCTAAGAACACTTCGCGCAAACCACACTAGGTTCTTAGGACATCCTGTGGTGGGCCTACAGGCAAGCCCGGACGCCTGGCCACTGCTCGAGTCCACGTCGCCGCCGCCGCCGTCGCGGCCGCCGCCGCCGCTTCCGCCGTCGCCGCTTCCGCCACAGCCGTCGCGGCCGCCGCCGCCGCCTCCGTCGTCGTCGTCGTCGTCGTCGTCGTCGTCGCCGACGTCGCCGTCACCGTTGTCGCAGGCCTGCTCGTGGGGCATGGCCCGCAGCTGCGCGACGGCCCGCGGCTCGATCTCGTGGTGCGTCTTCAGGAACGCCTGGGCCGCGCGGTGCTGGCCCAGAGGGCGGACGCGCTCACCACACCCAGTCGCCGCCGCCGCGGCCGCCGCTACCGTCGTAGTCGTCGTCGTCGTCGTCGTCGTCGTCGTCGTCGTCGTCGTCGTCGTCGTCGTCATCGTCGTCGTCGTCCTAGCCCTGACCTGTTCCTCGCTTTCGCGTCCTCGTAGTACTGCTCGTTGACCTCCTCGTCGTCATCCTCGTCGTTGCCCTCGTCAACATCCTCGTCGTCGTCGTCTTAGCCTTTCCTCCTCTGAGAAGACCTGGCCCTTGCTCTCATTTCCCCCCCCCCCCCTCCTCCCAGTCCCCCCCCCGTCCCTCCTCATCCCCTGTCCTACCCCCCCCTCTTCACCCCTCGCCCTCCTAATTACTCCCCCCTCCCCCTCCCCTCGCCACGTCTCGATCCTTCTACTCGATCTTTCTCGGTTCTCCTCCTCCTCCTCCTCCTCCTCCTCCTCCTCCTTCGACCCCTCGATCCTCCTCCTGGAGTCCGTGGGCCCGCGCAGAACGAGACCCCGCCCTGGAGATGAGGTCGAGAGGGGCAAGAGGAGGAGGATGAGGAGGAGGAGGAGGAGGAGGAGGACGAGGAAGAAGGGAGGGGGAGGGGGAGGAGGAGAAGGACGATGGTTGTCGATCCCTTCTTCCTCTTGGTGATGCACTGTTTGAGCGTGGACCCTCAGGTTCAACAAGGGCCGTTTTCCGCCCTCCCCAGGTGCTGGGCCAGAGAGGTGTCTCATGCCTCTCCCCGTGGCGACGGCGAGGGGATGTTGAGAATGGACCGGACCCATCAATGCCGCCGATCGTCGGATCGACTGGCAGGGGGGAGAGGGCAGGAGGAGCGCCATTGCCATGAAGGATTCGAGGTCCCACGATGCTTAACGCCGAGCAGGTTTCAGCCACACGTCGGGAGGAGGGGGGATGGGAAGGACAAGGTCGGTCGGGCTCAGCTTCAAAGGGGTCAGCCCTCTACTGCCTGGTGGTCCAGCGCGCGCCCTACGTGCACTGGTTGCAGTCCAGGCTTCGGGCGCAGTGGGCGCACAACCGACGGTGGGCGGAGAGGAGGGAGCAGGAGGCAGGAGGTGCCTCGGTACCACTTTGCGTGCACATTGTTGGTGGCTGGCCTTGCTCTGAAGAGCCCCGTACATCCAAAACTGATGGTAAAGATGCGCGATAAGGATGCACACCCCTCGGACGCCCGTGTTGAAGATTTTGCGAGCGCAGCGGGCCATCGAGAGTACTCAAGGATGGACCGAAGAGGCAGTCTCGAGCCGTGACGACGCCGGCACCGGTTTCCGACACCGCGGGGATCGCTCTTGGAGACCTCCAGGGATCTCTGGGGGCCTCTGGAGACCTCCAGGGGGATGGCAGCGCCAGCCAGCAGAGGAGTCTGGTAGCCAGATGCACGAAGAGCACACGCACTATCAATGGCAAGTAGGGGTGAGGGAGGAAGCCATCCTGAACATCGGTCTCGACTGTACTGACAATCGCATCGCCACATTGGCGTGCCCTCGTCGTCCAGCTTGACTGCCTTAGCGTGGTCGGTGGGGGAGCTCCAGAGCCCACGCGTCGTAAGCCGACCGACGCCGGAGGCCCCGAGGTGGGGCCCATCCGCCTCCCTCACCACGGGCCCGACTCTCCCCAGCCTCCTGTGGGGCCCTCGTCGCCTCGAAATCCTGGTCCGAGTGCGATGCAGGAGAAGTCTGCGAGTCGCATCTTGAGATATGATCCTCCTCATAGATCATAGCCAGCATCCTCGGTTTGCACTGCCCACCCATCATCCTGAACGTATGGTTCGTCATCGAATTGATCGGTTCCTCCTCCCCTAGACCTGCTCCTGCTATTCTCGCACTGCTACTGCCGCTCGTCCTCATCCTCCCGTTTCATATCCTTCTGTTCCGCCCACTTCTCCGAATCGACCGCATCCTCCTTCACGTCATCCTCGTCGTCGTCCTCCTCCTCCTCCTCCTCGTCTTCATTCCCCGCTTTCTCCCTGATCAGTTTCCTCGTCCCTTCTCCTCCTCCTCCTCCTCCGCCTCCTCCGCCTCCTCCTCCTCCACCGCCTCCTCCTCCTCCTCCTCCTCCTCCTCCTCCTCCCTCCTCCTCTCTCCTCCTCCTCCTCCTCCTCCTCCTCCTCCTCCTCCTCCTCCTCCTCCTCCCCCTCCTCCTCCACCGCCTCCTCCTCCTCCTCCGCCTCCTTCCAGCGTTCCCGCGTCCTCCTCCACACGCTCCGCCAGTGGCCTACCCAGGGCACCGCGCGAGCGGGCGGACATCGGCCGCTGGCCTCCACCTCGGGATTCTCCGCGAAGACGGGCTGCAGCATGGTCCGCTGGGCGTTGATCTTCTCCAGCTGCTCCGCCACCTTCGCCGCGTTCTCGGCGTCCCTTTGCTGGCGGTCGAAGCCCACGTTGCGAGCAAGCCTCGGAGGGCTCCCCATCCTCGGTCCGAGATCCGCCTCCTCCTCCTCCTCCTCCACCAACCTGCTGCTCTTCCAGGCTCCGACACCTCTTCCTACTCCGCGAGCGACTGCGTTCTGCGGTCCGAATCCTTACGCATTAAGGAGTCCCATCCCTCACTCACACCATGCCCTCGGCTCGCCCAGGCGTCCCCGGGGTCTTCTCACAACATTATCGCATGTCCTGTAGATGTTTGTTTCACTACTGGCGGCCCTGCTTCACCACCCACTCGGGCCCCTCCTCCCTGACCTCGGCTTCCATGCGCAATGAGGCTCTGAAGAAGCCCGTCGTATGTTCTTAATTTGTCACAAATGATACAGCGAGCTCGCCGCAGACGCCGATTTGTGGGTGTGACAGCAATGTGCGCGTGTCGTGGGTAGGTAGTGGGTGGTTTGCGGGTGGGTCGCCGGGTGGGTCGCGTGGTGGGTCGCGGGTTGGGTCGCGGGCGGGTCGCGGGCGAGGACGACGACAACAACACAACTCAAGAACAAGACAACATCAGTAATCCGTACCGCGGAACCTCACTTCAGCCACGCTCCCAAGGACAATGAATGACCGTTAGGACCCCTCACTCAGACTTACGTGTATGTATCGTTATATCACAGATTCCCAAATCAGTGCTTGCACTGAAGGGGTCCTAGCGGAAATTGAAAAATGTGGCGAAAGTGTTCCGACGATTTTGGTAGCCGGCTGGGTTCCCGGGGTCCCGGTTCCGGGATCCCGGGTTCCTGGTTATTTGTTCCGGGCCGATTTCGGTGGGTTCCAAGTTCCCGTGTTCCTGGTCAATCTCCTTATCGATCAAACCATCCACTGATTGGGGTTTCTCTGGTGTTCTATATATATACATGTGGCCGCACGCGGGCCAAAGTGTCCTTCTGCCTCAGCCCACACCCATACGCCATCCTACATCCGCTCTTCTCCATCATCTCATTATGCTCTCCCATCCTGCATCCCATTATCTCATCGATGTGGCTCCTCCGTCCCTCCCGGCGCCTCCTCCTCTCTCCTCTCTCGCACCTCGTACTAATCACCCACACTCTTCCTCCAACTCCCACGCTACTGCTTCCACCGCATTTGCCTTCGCATACGCATCTTCCTTGTCCGCGTCACGCCTTACTGTCCAGATCACCATCTCCACCATCGGTCTCCTCCACTCACCCCTCTGCCTCCTCATACAAGACCCTTCCTACACGTCAGTATCCTCCCTCCTGCCTTCTCATCAGCATCCTGCACGTCGGGCTCATCATCCTCCCGTCCTCGTCATCATCCTCTTACCTCTGCTGCGTCTCCTCGTCCTGCTGCTACTCTTCCTGCTCGGACATGTTCTCGCCATCGTCCCCTATATCTATATATATATATAGATAGATGTATATGTGTATATATATGTATTAAATGCTGCATCCGCCACGATGCCCTGAGGCACGAGTCGGAGGGTCCGCGGGTTCTTGGCCAAATTCCTTACGCTTCAGTCCTCAACCCTGAGGATTCCTTTTTTCAGGGGCCCGGATCCCTAGCTTACAAATCTGTCGGGTCTTTGGCGCGTGCCCCCTGGGCAGCGTCGAATTGCGGCGCGTGACTTCGTCGGGCCAAGAGGGCCCGAAGACGGGCCAATGGGGGCCCCAAGTGGACCTCCCGAAGGGGCAACGAGTCGCCGAACAATCTGTCCAAGTCGCCCAAGATGGTCTCCTGGCGACCGAAAAAATTCCAAGACGTCCCAAGTTGTCTCCAAGAGCCTTCCCATGGCAAAATCAGGAATTTCCAAAAGAGAATTTTCAATTTCTGGGGTTCTCCATTTTCCACACTTCCGACGCTCCAGGACGTGCCAAGAGGCCCCCCCCCACGAGGGGCCCAAGGGGCCCCTACGAGGCCCCAAGAGACTCCCCAAAGCCCCACAAACTGCCTCCAGAACGCCCCCGAGATGCCTCGACGAGATCCCAACGAACAGCCAAGAAGCCTTAATCCCACAATCCAGGCACGGTGGCGTGATGGGCCGATGGCCATATTATCCGCCGCCCCCTGCTTGCAGGGGTGCACGGCGTGCTGGACGATTCAGGTTTTGGTTTTGGTTCTTTTTCTAAAAGAACTCCCCAGTGGGCTTCGGCCCGTCCCGCCGGCCACCCGTAATTTTCCCCAAATCCGTCTGTCAATGCCCAAAAACGGCCGTTTCGCTCGGGACATCCTCAAAAAATCGCGAAGATGGCCCAAGATGGCCTCCAAGTCCGCCCGAGATGGTCCAAGACGGCCTCCAAAACGGCCCAAGAGAGTCCAAGACGGCCCAAGACGGCCCAAGAGGCCCCCCAGAGGCCTCCCAGACGGCCCAAGAGGCCTCCAAGAGGTCCTCCAGGAGAGTCCGAAGAGGCCAAAATCATTGATTTTCCCTTGGTTTTTGAAGGATTTTGGCATTTGCGCCTTTTCGGCTCTCCGACGGCTCAAGACGGCCCAAGAAGCCCCCAAGATCGCCCAAGAGGCCCCCAAGAGAGCCCCATGATGGCCCAAGTGGCCTCCAAGATGGCCCCTAGAGGGCCCCAAGAGGGCCCAAGAGGCCTCCAACACGCCCAAGATGGCCTCCAAGACGCCCAAGATGGCCTCCAAGACGGCCCTGGAGCATTCCAAGCGGGCCCCAAGTCGGCCCATAGAGGCCCCCCAAACGGCTTCCGACGGCTTCAGACGTGCCAGGAACCCACCAAGATGGCCGAAGTTGGCTCGAAGCTGGCCCGAGACGGCCCAAAAAGCCCCAAAGATCGCCCAAAGCTTGCCCAAGAGGCCTCCAAGACGGCCAAGATGACCTTCAAGATGCCCACGTGTTCCCCGAAGGCTTTCCAAACCGATTCGGGGAACACGTGGTCCGATAGCTTGGCAGGTCTGGCCTCAACGTTCGGCCACATAGGCGCTTCCAAAAAGGCAGGGGGCGGCGGTGATTCGCCGTAGGCGTCTTCGATCGGAGATTGGGGGGTGAATCCGACGTGAAACGGAGACCCCCCCTACCGGGAAATCGATTTCGGTTTCGGGTTCGTGTCGTGCGTGCCGTGCGTGCGTGCGGGCGAGGCGAAGCTGCGTGGGCGGGCGAGAGGAAATCCTCCTGTGGCTGGGCCGCGGCCGGACCAAATGTAACTCCTCCGGCGGCCGGTGCCCCGCGGTGTCCCGCCGGTGTCCCGCGAGTGTCCCGAAATCCACCTGTGGCTGGGCCGCGGCCGGACCAAATGTAACTCCTCCGGCGGCCGGTGCCCCGCGGTGTCCCGCCGGTGTCCCGCGGGTGTCCCGAAATCCTCCTGTGGCCAGGCCGCGGCCGGACCAAAAGTCTCTCCACCAGGCAAACGGGGCCCCGCGGTGTCCCGCTAGTGTCCCGCTGGTGTCCCGCCGTGGCTGCGGCGAGCTATCCATTGCAACTCTACATGCAAACCGACATGCAAACCAGAAAGCACATCGAAATGCAAATCGACATGCACATCCAAATGCAAATCGTAAGGTGCCGAGAATTGCGTGTTTAAAAAATCGGCGCCTGCGGCGATCTTTTTCCAATGCAAGTCGACATACAAATCGAGATGCAGATCGTCAACATCGCCACATCACATCACGCTCACGATCATAATCACACTACTCACTAGACTGCGCACCACAGGCATCGTCAGAACAACAGTCGCCACTGTTGCCCATTGCTGGCCCCACCCGCACCTCCTTATCACCCGCAGGGTGGTCGTATAGGTATCTGATCCTGGGTCCAGGTCCGAAGGGCCACCCCCCCAGATGGGATGGGCCCAAGGACTCGGCGGGCCCCCCCCACCCCCCACCCCAGATGGGATGGGGGGGACGACGTCGACGCCGTCGTCGTCGTCGCCGTCGTCGTCGTTGCCGTCGTCGTCGTCGCCGCCGCCGTCTTCGTCGCCGTCGTCGTCGTCGTCGTCGTTGCCGTCGTCGTCCCTCCCTCTCCCCCCTCCCTCCTCTCCCCTCGCCCCCGCATGTCTCCCTTGCTCCACCCCCACTCTCACGCCCTCTCTGGAACGAGGAGGCGGAAAGGGAGGCAGAGGCAGACGACGAACACGACGCCCCTGCACACGCGCGCAGAACGACGAGGGGGCAGCAGGAAGGAGGGCGAGGTGAAGGAGGAAAGCAGGAGGAAGGGGGAGGAGGAGGAGGGAGCAGGAGGAAAAGGAGAGCGCGAGGGAAAAGGAGGAGAAACAGGAGGACGGAGGAGGCAGACGAGAGCAAAAGGAGGAGTGAGGAGAAGGGAAGAGGACGAGGAGAAGCTTTTTGAAGTTCACGCAACGCGTTTTGGTCACAAAGCACGCTTTTGAAAACATTGCGATGGTCTTGTGCTTCAAAATGCGCACTTGACATCATCGGAAGTGGCTAACCTACATTGATTCCGGTGATTATGCGCTATTTCAGTGGCACCACCCCTCCGTCAAGTGTAGCAGTTTTACTTCATGCATGGGACGGCGATGCGTATGCCGATGCGGATGCCAATGCCAAGTCTGAAGACTCTGACGACGACAACGACGACGAAGACGAAAACTACGACGACGGCCCCCACCACCCCACACTCACAGGCCACAGGCCACACCACACCCACAGAGGGGGGGGGGGGCAGGGGGGCAGGCCCATCGGGGGGGGGCAATACCATCAGCATGGTGTGGGGGGGGGGGGCACCCGGGACGTGGATCATATATCCGCCGGCCCCTTTGCGGGGCCATCAGGCTGCGAAGATTAGGTTTGCAGCTCCCTGTGCCAGTTGCAGCTTCCAGTTTCCACTGTTACAGTCGTGGTTTCTGCTTCCTTACTGCTAACTGTTGCTGAACGCGCGATGGGGGGGCAGCCGAAGAGCGTCCTGGTTAGCGTCCCCGAATCGCGTTGTCTGAATTCCAGGGGGGTCGTGGGACACGTAAAAATATTGGATCGGAGGTTGGGGGGTGAGATCGCAGTGAAACGGAGACCCCCCACCGGGAAATCGGTTTCGGTTTCGTGTT